CTCCCCCGTCCATCCTGGCTTGGGACCGCAACGTCGCGTGCCTTCTCCTCCCCCCGCATTTCCAACGGGTCCGATGAAGACTTCACCTCATCGGTCCGTTCCTTCTTTTACTTCCGAGGGCCCCACCCGGAAGCAGGTTCTCGTGTCATTTGGGGGTACCCCCCCTGACCTCACGAAATTCTTCACCGAGTCAGCTGTTCGTGCAGCCAATGGGTACCTCAGGGATGGTCAATCTATGCTAAAGGTCACCTCCATCGTCCGCGCCTACGACGGTTTGTCGTTAGTCACCCCCGCCATTGCCAGCCCGTCTGATCTGGACGTACTGCGCAATTTCATCCGCGAAAGCCTCCCAACGGGTACCCCGTTCGAGGTTGCGCTCCCATCATCGACGTCTTTCATAAAGATCCTCGACGTTCCCTACTTCGATCTGAAAGGGTTGAAGATCACCCAGGAGGCACTTGAAAAGGCCCTCCGTACCTCGGTTCATGCTGAGGTTTTCGCATATCTGAGCACCAAGCCTCGGATCGACCGCAACTCGGCGCACTCGACATCGTGCACCGTCTACTGCAACATCTGGGACTCCCAGCAGGGAACCCGCGCCAAGAAGGCCTTAGGCCAACCGATCTTCCTTGCTGGACAGTCCTGCGCAATCAGGCCCGCCGCACGACACACCGGGGTCCCGCTCTGCCAGCGCTGCTGGAAGTGAGGCCACCCCACCGTCGCCTGCAAGGCGAAACAACTCTCTTGCCCTATCTGCTCGGGTCTGCACGAGCAGAAGGAGCACCGTCAACATGCGGGATGTTGCAAGGGCAACGCGAAAGCGAAGCCTCCTGTGCCGCCCACCCCTCGCGACCAGCCCTGCCCCCATAAGGGCCGCTGTGTCAACTGCCACAAGGACCACGCCGCCAACTCGGCCTCGTGCAAGTTCTGGGCCCACTGCTACGATCGTGAATGGATTTTTTTTTTTTTTTTTTTTTGATCAACAATTTATATAGCGGTGCTCGATGGCAGCCCGCTTGCTATCTACAAACACGTACGCTACGCAGCCTGGTTACTAAGTAAACCACTAAAGGACGACCGCCCCCCCAACCAAGACCCTTTGGGCTCAAACGCCGAAACTCCCCAGAGGGCAACCCACCTCGCGAAAACGGTGCATCGGGATAAGGGGAGGAAACCATCGAGGTTCCGCTACGCCCCAAAGTCGTCAATCGCTATTCGGAGGCCATGCAGCGCAAATGAGATAAGAAAAGCACCACCCGGGAGGTGGCAGAGTGTCTTGAGGCCGACAAGCCAGAGAAGCGCCTGCCCGAAACCAGACGCAGAAAATTAGCAGCGCCGCAACCCGCTACAATAGCGGCCGCAAGCGCGAAGAAATAGCGGTAGGCACAGGTCTTCGAACCCTAGAGCTCGGTGGTGTCAATTCACCATAAATCCCCCGAAAGGAGGAACAACCCCGCCCACCACGATTATCCGACACCCGACGGGTCCCGGTTGAAGCCAAACGCCGTAGGGTTGTACTTCATAAACGATGCAATATCCCCGAGAAAACAGGGATAGTGTACAGAATATCTGTCGCGACAGCGAAAGAGGATATGCTGGCGGGACTGCAAAGCAGCCCCGCAAGTGCAGCCATGAGGCTCGTTGATCTTGAAGCGACGGTAATACGCTCCAATGGGCGCGTGGCCAGTTATGCACCGGCAAACGCGAGCGAACTCAGTAATACTGTGTCCGAAGGTTGAGAGCCAAGGTCCCCCATTGAGGTACGATGGTTGTAGCGGCCGCCCGTCAGGCTGTTGAAGCTCTAAGAATTCGGAGCCTCGGTAGGTTGGATCCTGGAAAGTGGAACTCCACGAATCCAAGACTGAGTGCGCAGCTCGAGAGCGAAGCGCGTCTATGGAGTTGTCCGTCTTGCGACGCCCAACCCTGACTTTGAGTTCGGTGACGTACTTGTGTGCTTCACCATGGATATCCCACCGCATAGCGGAAGGGACGTAGACGAAGGTAATGCGACGGAGATCATCCGCCTCAAACCACTCTTGAAGAGCGCGACATACTGACAGCTAAAAGCCTGACCAGAATGCACGCCGGGGTCAACCGCTCTATGGGCTGAGCCCATAGAGTCAGTGAAGACCATAATATGTTGGCAGTTTGCCTGCTTGACAGCAAGGCGCACTGCACACGAGATGGCATTGAGTTCCGCATCTGGGGCGGTAACTCTGCCAGAGACATAGCGAGTCCTCCCGAGCTCGCAATGTCCCTTGTAGATTATAGCAGCCGAAGCCGCCTGATACTGGTTGGACTGAGGGACAGAGCCATCAGTTGCAGCCAGTACTGTTAGTGGGTCGGCCCTTGCTTTCGCAATGAGCTCGTCTAGATATGGGCGCCTATCCTGGCCAGGATCACGCTCGTCAAAATGGAGACGGTCCGCATAGCGGTCCAGTAACCGGTCGCTGGCGAGCTTCCCAAGCGTAAAACGACATCTTTC